TATGAATTTAGAACTTTTTTTTGGTGACATTGTTATATGTTATTTATTTACAAGTATTTATTTATAATTAGTTTATGTTCAAAAGTGTTAGTATTAATCATAATCATATAAATAGAGGGGAAAAAAGAGGCAAAAATGACTCTCACGCAATTCACGACCTTTTTTTTTTTACAATTAGAAATAATTCTGCCCATCTAAGTTTTATGTGGCCCACCTTAGTTCTAAATAAGGGCCAAATGGAAAAATAAATAATGTGAATGTCAGGCTATATTTGACCATTTTTTCCACCTCCCGCAAAAAACTCAGAACGGTCCAAAAATCCCGCCCAAAATAAATGATAAAAAAACCCATGAAAAAAGTAAACAAACAAAACCGTAATATTGGAGTACTCAATTCTTTTATCGTCTAATGCGACAAATAGTCAAAAGCAAGTTTGCCGAGGCAGGAAAGAAATGAATTTGAGTTGACAAGTCATAGGCTTTGCCGTTCGACTTTTGTGGCGGTAGATTTGATGTGTACAATATGCATAATAATACTGGCTATTTGATCCCGAAAACTATTTGTTGTAGTCAAATTCGTATATTTAGTGAAACAGTATTTATTACAGTATATATTATTTTTTTTTTTCATTTCAAAATATAAGTCTCTTTTACACTTTATACATAAATTAAAAAGACAATTATCTCACAATTAATTTATGTGTGAAAATATCTGTTTTAACCTCATTAATTACATTGAATTACAAACAAAAGTAAATGAAAATAGATTGACATCATTTATTGGGGGTAAAGTTAGAAAATTAATCATTAATTCGTGTAGATTTTATAAAACGATTTATATTTTGAAAAATTTCTCAAAATTTAAAACGACCTACAAATGAAAATGGAAGGGAGTATGTATCTTCACTAGTTTTACACAATTAATTTTATTGTTTTTAAGAAATAGACAATTTTAAGTTGTTGTATTCGTATATAAGCTGTTAACATGAACATGTTGTTCCGTTGTCAAGGAGACTTCAACTAGGCAACTGACAGGAGCCCATATTATCGACGAAGGAAAAGCATAAGGAAATTAGAAAGATGGACGTCAGGAGTTTGGTTAATACTCCCTCCGTCTCATAATTATTGTTCACTTTGCCCAAAAAATTTTGTCTTAAAATTATTGTCCAATTTGACTTTTTATGAATCAAGTTACACATTTGTCCTTAGTAAAAACATTATCCATAAAATCTTAGTGGTTGAACAATTACTTATGTAGGGGTATATCCGGTTGTTTAACGTAAAATATAGTTAAGTTTGACCAAAAATAAAATCTTTCATTTTAGTAAAATTGGACAATAATTATGAGACGAAGGGAGTATATTTTTATAGTTGAAAAGAAATGGACGCACAACCGGTAGTATATGCCAACTATATATATAGTTGTAAATTGATTAGGCTCTTCTTGAATCTTTGTTCATTTTTTACTGTGTTCTTTTAATATTCATTAATGTATTTTCTTTTCCAACATATTTCTTTTAAATTTTCAATATAGAACTTTTTTTTCCCGTTTTTTCCCACAAGCATTTTTTTTTTTTTTTGGAAACAACCCAACTATCATTAATAAAAAAAGATACAGAGTACATAATTACACCAAGGTAACAAATAGTCATTCTTATCCTCTATGTGACAATAATCAAAATGTTTTTTTTTTTTTTTTTTTTGAAGAAGATAGTCAAAAGTTTATTTCACGAGACAACATGAAATGAATTTGAGTTGACAAGTAATAGGCTCTGTCGTTCTCCTTTTGCAGTGCTAGATTTACGCTTGTACAACATGTATAATGCTAGTAAGTATCTTCTGGATTGTAGATCTTGATCCGAAAAACTATTCTGTTGTGGCATTTGTATTTTGCAACAATATGTATTATAGTTTCATATTGTATCTCTGTTAATCTTAGAAAAGTAATTTTATTTTCTTAGGATTGGACTATTTTAAGTTGTTGACGTAAACAGTGTTAATTATCTCGTTAATCTTTAATTATTGTATTTGACTGCCCAAGTTTACAAGAGATAGTGATTGGGTGAATTAAGTAGTTGTGACCCCTTTTATTTACTACTTGCAGTTAATTGATTACAGCTTGTAGTTGTAGATACGAAAAAGTCAAAAAACAAGTTTTTAGAATGCACACCTCTAGGTAGGCGCCAATCTGATTGACTACTTTGTGCTCACGAATTGAGAGAACACATCTTGTGCTTCGCATGTAAGTGTGGTGAGTTTTTCACTGGTATTGTTAATTCTCATCATCTGCTAGTTTCCATCAGCCACCGATACCTTGTTTTACTTTTTAAAATTTTCGACAGTTATAAGTAATCATAAAGATCCCGTTTCTCATCATCTTCGGATAATTTATTTTTTCTTCTTTTTATAAAATAACTTTGAATAAATTTAAAATGCATTTTATCAAACAAGAGCAAATAATCTGTGTCGCTAAGTTACACCAACTTGATCCAGTACTGTTCATCCAGCACCAACCATTAATGCATTCGGTTAAGGTCGTCAAATGGTATGTCTCATTCAAGCCCAGTCCGGCTCCATCATGATTTAGCCCCAAGAATAATTTACAAAACAAACCTGAAAGGAAAACAAAGCCGAAGGAAAAGCCCATCTCTGCAACGACACTGGAGAATGCATTATTCTAATTTGTCTATCATACAAAATATTTTTGTTTTCGATGAGAAGAATTTTGAAATACTTATTTACGGAAAGAAAAAGTAAATCAATCAATTTCGACTAAATCAACAACAAGAAAAAAGTGTTCACGTATTATCATCATCATCAAATCTAGTCATCTAGCTTTCAAATCGAGACTCTAATCACCAGTTAAAACAATGAACAAGTTACTTTTCACGATTAGTTTTTTTTTTTTTTTTTGCTTAAAATGTTTTATGGTGGCCTGATACTTTAAAGGTAATGTCATATCTAATTTTAAAGATACCGGCCTCAAGCACGCCTCGCACGGTCTTACTCCCTCCTCCGATCCTTATAGGATTGTCAACATTTTGAAATTTAAAATTAAATGTGGTCTTTTTTTGTGTTAAGGCGGGAAGGAGTATATATTTTTCCAAAGGTGTACGGGTTTACTAATTTAGTGGAGAAAGTATAGTTTAATTGTTGCCGGCTTCCCCCCCCCCCTCCCCCCCTTCCTTGAGGTTTAAATTTTGGGTTAATGGCTATTTCAAAAAATTTAAGAGAATGTAATAGATAGTTAGTTTATATATCACTTTGTGGAAATGTAAAATGTACCTAAAATTATATCATACAAAGGCCCGAGTTTTAGATCACATATGATCGTCAAATAGAAAATTAACTATTTTAAGCAATTCAAATAATTTTTTTTTTATTACAATAAAGAGAGGTTCAAGTGTTTCGATTTAAGCAAAAACGGTATGGGAATACGCAAACACCCAATGGTAACAAATAATCTTGAAGACGAGCAGAGATCGAGTTTATGACTAACGAAACAAAATTAACTACTTTTTTTGGTAGAAAAAAATAGCTCTAATTAATTAATTGAACTAACTGATTTCTTTGCATGTATTTGTACATCAATTGCAGTTTTGCTTCTTCTTTTTGTTCCTTTTCCTTTTACTCCCAGTTGCTATGGAAACATGGAATGCTAATTACCACTCTTACCACTACAACCACCAACTAACGAGAGAGAGAGAGAGAGAGAGAGAGAGAGAGAGAGAGAGAGAGAGAGAGAGAGAGAGAGAGAGAGAGAGAGAGAGAGAGAGAGAGAGAGAGAGAGAGAGAGAGAGAGAGAGAGAGAGAGAGAGAGAGAGAGAGAGAGAGAGAGAGAGAGAGAGAGAGAGAGAGAGAGAGAGAGAGAGAGAGAGAGAGAGAGAGAGAGAGAGAGAGAGAGAGAGAGAGAGAGAGAGAGAGAGAGAGAGAGAGAGAGAGAGAGAGAGAGAGAGAGAGAGAGAGAGAGAGAGAGAGAGAGAGAGAGAGAGAGAGAGAGAGAGAGAGAGAGAGAGAGAGAGAGAGAGAGCCTAGATCAAAGGAAATGTAGTTGTGTAGGATTTTAGGGAACTTAAAGAAAAATGTAAGTGGGGAGTAAAAGATCCAATACTTCAAATCCCTATGAAGCCTTCTTCTCTCTCTGCCTATGGCTGGCGATTCGCCGCCGACTATAGGCCATATACAACCAATTCAACTTCTCTAACGACCTTCTTTTGCACAAATTTTAGGATCTAATCCAAAAACTATACAAAATCATTTGGCAAAAAAAAAAAAAAAAACCCTCACCCCAATTGTAATCCAATCAGAACCAACCCTTTTCAAGGGAGAGCCAACTTTCCTTCTTACAAAAGAAGAAGCTGAACGATTGGTTTCAACTTGCCCTTGTCGAAAAATTTACCAAAAGCCAGCCAAAAATGGATTTTTGAGGAAAGAATTCCAAACAATTGGCTTCAATGGAGACTTCTCCCTAGGAATGATCTATCACCGACATGTCCTCATCTTATTTGATCTTGAGGAAGATTATCATCGCTGTTGGTTAAAAGGTTTATGGACCTTTGACAAACATTGGATGCGAGTTCTCAAATGGACCACGGATTTCAACCCGTCACATGAAAGCTCTATAGTCCCGGTTTAGATTTCTTTTGAAGGTCTCCCCATTCATCGCTTTAACAAAGAATATTTGTGAAAGCTTGCTAGTATCATTGGAACACCTCTTCAAATTGACGTTCCAACCCTCAATATGTCACGTCCTTCGGTGGCACGGGTTTGTGTTGAGATTGATCTTCTTAAGGATCATCTCATCCGAATCCGATTGGGTGTTGAAGTAAAATCCTATTTTCAATCAATCTTTTATGAAAATATGCCTCTATATTGTGTTGATTGCAAAAAGATTGGGCATGATCTCAATTCTTGTTGACACAATAAGGAGCAGCGGCACTACAAAAGTTTGATTCATTGCATTCTGCGAAGCAGCAATCTGACAAGCAAACATTACAAAAAATGGAGCAGAAAAAGGGAGCCCCTCTACTGTCGTTCAGTTTCCGATTGAAGTCGCCACTGTCGATGCAATTCCCGGTGGTTGCGAAATCGTTATTGCAAAACATGGTGGCTAAAGCAGATCCACCCCTTTCTGATGATGCTCCACTGTTGGGGCAATCAATTGCTATTGATGATGTTGCGCACACAATTGCTGATGTTGCAGTCTCTGTTGAAGAAACAAATCAACGAGCCCTCGCTGTGTTACCGCGGGTAGAAGCTGAAGATGTTGCTACCATGGCAAAAACCTTAGTCGCACCCCCTTGCAGAAAGCCCACCACGCCGAAAATGTTAGTCTCGAACCCAGAAGGATCGACATCGGGATTGACAACGTTGGAGAAAATTGGCATACTAGTTGACATTATTGACAGGCCACCACTTCCCTTAATCTCTGAAAAGATGGCGGAAGAAGAATCTCCGCGGCCTTTTGGCGTCGATGATGAAACAGTATTGCTGCTGCTTAAAGTCTTTGACGCTACTGCTGCCTCAATTGCCATTGCTGCCCCAATGTTGGAGGGGGATAAATCAACTCCGCAGAGTATAGATAACCGGTGGCAACCGCCGGAGTTCACAGAAGGAAAAGAAATTCCGACTTCGGAGCATTCAAGTTCGCAACGGTGCACCGCGTCAGTCGAGACTGTTGCGCTATCAAAGGACCCTAAATCACTCTCCCAATCTGATCTGATTGTTTCTGTTTCAAAGGAAGATGAGTTGAAGTCAAAGTCTCCACAATTTTCTCCTTCAGATAATGAAGTAATTTTCCCTAAAAATAGCTCTAATAACGGCTCTGTAAAAAAGTTAAATCCTGCTGCTCCGAAATTTTCTTGTCCTCCTAGTCAACAAATCCCAGTTCTCCAGGTCTTGCTTCCAATTTCAGGCCCAATCTCCGATAGGAACAATAAACAATTCTTCTCCAAAGACGATACGGAGGTAGAGAAGCATATAGTGTCTTTTAACCCAAGTTATTCTATTGAAGAAATACATTCCGAAGGCGGCCAAAATCATGCTTCCAATGGTTCTGATGATGAAGATTTCGATATGAAATATGCAATGGAACAAGAGTTCTTTTACAGTGAAGTTTCTACTCCAACATATCACAATCGATCAAAAAAAGCTAAGGCTAAAAAGAAAGTTCAAGTTCGTCGGTCTGCTAGATTGGACAAGGATTCAACTTTACTTTAAGATCAAAATTGTATTTGATGTAGGGTTTAGTATATTCGCTGCCCTATTTTTTTCTTTTCTTTATAATTAAAAAATTTGTTTTTTGTTTTAAAAAAAACATAGCCTAGATCAATTCGAGTCTTGTGATATCAATAGATGTTTTAGAGAATCTTAGAATTGATGTTCTTTTTTAGATACAGGAGCATAAAACAACTTCAATTTAGAGCTTAGACATCCTCCACATCCATCACTTGGAAGTAAAAGAAAAAAGTAAAATAGAGAAGAACAAAACAAAAATCATTCATTGCATACAAAACCTTTTTTTTTGTGTTTTGTTTTTACTAATGATGATCAATTTTATTTATAAAAAGTATAAAACAACTTTGAAATTTATATGATGTTGAGTTGTGGATATCACTTAATATTAAATTGCAAAGCTGATCTCAGAGGCAGACAATTTGTTAAACAAGTGAGAAAACCCTAGAAGATAATCACTACCGGTAGCACAAAATACAATTACCAATAACACAAAAGTGAGAAAAACTAAAAGATGAGAAAACCATAGAAGATGATCATTTCTAGTAGCAAAAAAGTGAAAAAAACCCTAGAAGATCATCATTACTTGTATCTCATAAGTTTTATAATTCTTGTTTTTTCTTTCTTTTCAAAAATACAATCTAGCAATGAGAAAAAAAAAAGGGTCTGAAGTGAGCGCAAGTCTTGATCAAATTAATGGGTTGAATGTTCAAAATATTAGCCTCGACCCGAACAACTTAAAGAATTCAATAAGTTTTAGGCATGGATGAGTATATTGTATACATTTTGCTCAAACATGAGGTGATAAGTGTTATATAAACATGAAAAGCGCACATAGATTTTTGTGAAGCTATAAATAACCATAAAAGAAAAACATGAAACCGACCTCGTGACAAGATAATTTACAATTATCATGAATTCGTCCTTCTCCTCCCAACTTATACTATGTAAAAAAATTAAGATTATATTTTAGATCAGCCATTTTAATTTAGGGATTTATGTTTATATATATGAAGACAAATGATGGAAAATTAAAACGAAGCATGGTTTATGGGCTAAATTTTTGTTAACTTTATCTTCTTCTGCTCACAGAAAAACTGCGTGGAATAGAATGACAATTGGTCCAAACTTGGTGTCATCTGGGACATTCCATCAATGACGCCACCAATCCCTTCCCTTACCATAATTTTTTTTTTTTATCAAATAGGAGCTTATCACTTAATTCCAATCAGTCCTCTCACCATCAGCCTTGTTGAACCTGACTGAGATTGATCAGAATTTTGAAGATGGAGAGGATGGCTTCATATGGCAGCCCAACACTACTGGAGTTTTCACCATAAAGTTCGCCTATGAAGTAATGAGAAGTTGGGAGCCAAAACAGGGAGTATTGAAACATATTTGGCATCATTTCATCCCTCTTCGTATCTCTTTTTTTTTTTTTATTTGGAAATTACATAATAAATTGCTCCCAATCTTAGATGTTGTGTAACAACCTTTGGTATGCATGCTAATCCTTCCATATATCCCCTATGTAGGAATAATGAGGAATCAATGCAACTCATTTTTATGGATTGCTCATATGGACGACTTATATGGAATTTCTTTGCGCAGATCTTCCAAAGACATTTACCTCCAACAGCTACACCTTGGTTCATGATACAGCATTGGTGGCCCATTGGAAATTTTTCTTCTGCAAAAAAGGTGGCGATCATGGAAGCTCCTGTCTTTACTTTTTGGGAAACCTGGAAATGGCGGAACAAGATAATTTTTGACGACACCCAAACTCTTCCTAAACAAGTACAAGAAGCAATCTTGGATCACATACAAAATTTATTGGTTGTTCATGATCCTAAAGTCCATGCCCACACTGAGAAAGTTTTCATGGAAAGTTTTTTTTTCCAAATGTCAATTTTACTTTGCAAAATATGGTGACAAAGGTAGTCCGATGGAAGCAGCCGAAGACTAATACATGTGTTCTCAATACGGACGGATCCTCGAAACAAGAAAATAAAGATTCCGGATATGGTTTCATAATTAGAGGTGACAAGGGATCTTTTCAATACGCAAAGGCTGGATATATTGGAGATCGGGATAGGTTTCAGGCAGAAATAAGAGGAATACTTTTTGGGTTTCAAAAAATGTGTGACAATGGAGCTACCTAAAGTTGAGGTACAAACTGATAATTTATCAATTGCCCATCTTTTGAACACTGGAAGGAAGTTTCCCTGGGGTTTCTATAGCGAGCCACAAGAAATACTCTTCGTGTTACGGCTACAGAACTACAACATCGTTCATGCACACCATGAAACAAATGCAGTTGCCAATAGCCTTGCTAATGCAGCTTCTTCGGGAATATCGCAGAGGTTCAGCTACTTCAAAGATCTACCAAATGCTTGAAAAGGACTTCTAATTCTTCATCAGCAAGAATTTCCAAACATTCGAAATAGATGACAATATTAATAAAAAGGGTGGCATCCCCTCCAGGTTCCACCCTCGGTTTCTCAACCAAAAAAAAAAAGAATTTGTTTTTCCAATTTAAAATCTTGACATCCAAAGCTTCCAGCAAAAAAAAAAAAGAAAAAAAGAAAAAAAAGAAGACAAATGGACATTAACTTATATATGAGATTGTTATAACCTTAATAGTGAAATGGATGATGGTCATTGTGAGAATGTGACCTTAGTTTGGAGATAAGACTTTCAAAGATCTGGAGGATCGAATTCGGTATAAGTCTTTCATTGTACAAAACAAAATAATAAAAGAAAGATAAAAGGGGAATTATAACAACAAAATAAAGGGCATTAGGTGTCCTGTATCATAACCAAATTTGCACTCAAGAATATTTCCCTATAACTTACTAAATTTCGAATAAACTATTTTGAAACATTTGATCTCATTTATATCAAAACTAATATCTTTTTCTTTTTAAAGAAAAACTTTTGAATTATGAACTTTATATCCATTGAAATTCATACCATGACTAACCTGAACTGCTTTATCAAGAGGGGGTTTTTTATTCTTTTTTTTTTTTGTTTTTCAAGTTAAAGTTTCTCTAAATACAAAAATCTTGATGTATGTAGGTTATCAACGTGATAAAATGATGTTGGATTGTAATAATCGTGAGACGACATTCAAAATTTTCTGAAATCAATGCAAAATGATAATAACTATAATGCACATTTTGAAACATTTGCAAAATTTAAAATATCTTTTTTTTTCCTTAAGAAATAATAATGGTTTCATATAAAAGAAATAATAACATTTAATTTCCAAAGTAACTTTTGAATTTTTATGAAAATTTGAAAAAGAAATAAAATTTGCTATTGGTAATTAATGGTCTTTCTTATTGTTTGACTTTTGATTATAAAGATGAGAGAGTACAACTAATTAAATGATGGGACGATAACCAACCCAATTTAGTTGATTATTGTATACCTCAAATTTATTAAACATTAGTTGTATCAAAAAAGTAATTTTCTTTTTTCTTAACAATTCCAGCTTCTGAATTTTTACCAAACAATCCAAACCCTTCCCTAACATTTGTTTTTCTCCCTATATAAAGTATCTAAACTACAAATCCAAGGAACCATCAAAACAATAATTTTTACGTTCTAACACATTAAGACGCATGGAGCTACAAGTTAACATGAGCAAAATGGTGCGTGTTAGCTTGCTTGCGCTTTTGTTGTGCACGTGTCTCTTACATGGTGGATATCACGTCGTAGAAGCACGTCCCTTGTTTTCTATCTCGGTAGCTGAAAAAGCCGTAAAATACATCGACTATGGAGGTTTAACAAAAGGGCCGCCACATGTTCCACTTCCACCTACAAAATATGTAAGAGGATGCAGTACCATTACCCGTTGTCGATCCTTCGGTAGCCATGGATAAACCATACACATTAATTCCATACATATTGAATGATACATGTATTAGCGTTCACAAAATTATAGGTTCTTTAAGTGTTTGGCTAAAAATAAAGGGCGCTACACAATAATGGTTCCATGCACATTTTAGTCAATGTACTTTGATTTATCCTGAAGGCTAAAAATAAAGGGCGCTACACAATAATGGTTCCATGCACATTTTAGTCAATGTACTTTGATTTATCCTGAATATTAAAATACTTAAATTCCTATTTTCCCCCCTATCACTAGTATTTTGGTCGTTAATACTTAAATTCCTATTTTTTACCCTATCAACAATATTTTGGATGTATCACCATCTTGAAAGTTATGAACTTTAATCATAGTATACCAAAATTGTAAAAAGAATATAATTTTTAAGACCTTTGCAAGATTTTATATTTTCTTTAGTAATTATGAAGATATGCTTCATGTTAATTGCTAAAGCGCAATTGTTTTAAGAAAGTGAAACTTGTGAAAATTTAACATCGAAGGAAGATCAACATTTTTGGAAATGCGTGTACGACAGAGAGTAATATATTTTGTTTGTGTTAAAGAAAAACATTTGTTAAAAAGAATTCAATTGATTAAAGGTATTTCATAATTAATGTTATGACGAAGTCTGAATTCGAGATGAAGAATAAACATTATGAAATTACGCATTAAATCGAAGGGGGAAAAACCAACAAAATTAATGATAACGATAATAATAAAATTGTAAACTAAGATGTTCATAATGAAGTAATTTTTGCATCCTTTTTGAAATAGCATTTGTGATCCATTAAAAAAGTAAAAAAAAAAACACAATTTTTAATATACATGTCGTTTTACAAAATTGAGCCATATTTTATCAAGTTTACTAATGTTATCCTTGTAGTAGAAGCAGAAATCATGTGAATGAGAAAACCAAAGTGGTAAAGATGACCAAAGTAGTGTGTGTTAATATAAATGAAAAAGATTAAGAGTTGGATTTTACTTTTCCAACTAAAAATTAAATGTGAAACGAAAATGAAAATATACAATAGGAAGAAATTATGTGAATGAGACATTGTTGTGGTGAGAATGACCAAAGTAGTGTCCAAAA